GCACCTCAGAGTATACTTTAATTAATCGATAGAAATGCTTCATCTAAACGTAAGTATTTTATGAATATAAAAAATGAAGCCCTTCGTAGTAAAAGCCCAGAATTATAAATACCTCGGCATTTTTAATCCCGTGTGAAGTTAAATTTCCTTGGCACGACTAAGTTTTTCATAGTTAACGGAAGCATTGTTGACGACCCCAATATTATTTGCGAACAGTTCAGTAATCACTTCTCGCAATGCTACAAAACTGGAACTGAAAGCTCTATCATTACATTCCCAATGCTGACATCTAGAAACCTATTGAAAATTGATTTTATACCCTCCAACATCGAGCAGGCCATAGCTGTCCTGAAAAAGTCTTATGATGGTGTACCTGACGGGGTCCCTTCATCATTTGTGAAATATGGGAGTAGAGAATTCCCACGATTTCGTTTGAAACGTTTCAACCTATTTATGGAATATGGGACCTATCCATCTGTATGGAAAACAGCTCTTATCAGCCCTAGATTCAAAACAAGATCCCGCAGTGATATAAGTAACTATAGTTCAATTAATTTAACATCCGTGCTCTCAAGAACCATGGAAAAAATCATCCACAAACAGCTAGTATCATTTTTACTTTCGGCTAGTCTGATCAGCTCATCCCAACGCAGGTTTATGAGTAAACGCTCATGTTTCACATCGCACCTAGAGATTTTTGATCAAATTACCCAGAGAAGAGATTTTGGTCAGTCAGTGATAATTCTTTACTTCTATTTTAGTAAGGCTTTCGACAGTGTCTCACACAAACCTCTTCTAAAACTTTATTCATTTGATATACAGAATCCTCATTTATCTTGTCTCAAATCTTCTTTAGAAGAACGTAGCCAAATCGTTCGCTTTGAAACTTGTTACTCTAAATCTGTGAATGTAACTATTAGGGTTACACAAGGAAGTGTGATTGGTCCACTACTCCTTCTCCTTTTATCAATGACGTGTGTTCCCACTTTCATTATGTTAAACCTTTCCTTTCTGCCGATGACCTAAAAGTAGTTTATTCATTCTCTTCTCCCACTAAAGAAAGCTATATTTCAACGTTAATCCAAGAAGAAATAAACAAGTTATACGAATGGACTGTTTTGTGGAATTTTCCACCTAATGTTGACAAAAGTGGATTTGGTCACATTAGCCGCTGCCTTAACTTAAATCTGACTATACACAAACATACACTGAAACCTCTCAACACTGTTCGTGACTTGGATTTAAGATACAGCAACAGTCTGAACTTTTCTGAGCACATGGCATCTCAAGTATCCAAAGCTAAAAAATTCATCGGATTCATAATGATAAACTTCAATAATATCGAATCGAGATTGTTATTATTATACAGAAAGTGTATCTTATCCATTCTTGAATATGCCAGTGAACCTCTGTTGCAGGGAAACTGCAACCCGGTTCAGAAGTCTCCTTGATGATTTTCCTTCCGAAATTGGATTATGTCACCTATTGAACATCATCGTATTTAATAATGATTTATACAAACAAGGTCCCTCATCCATCTAATTGACTGTAAAGCAAAATGTAACTTTTGAAACTTTTAACGTCTATTTCGCTTTCTTTTCTTTCTGTTCATTTTAATATATGAAGTCTGCTTATGTTCGTATCTATAATTATTACTGATATTAATATCATTATTGTTATCTCGACACATCGGTTATTATTTTCATCTCTTCTATTTCTTCTAAAAATATTTTATTCCTAAACATACGAATTCTATGACTAAAAACAAATTATCTCACGGTACAATTAAATAAATTAACTTCTTAGGTTCATTTTATCTTCACCAAATATATATAGAACACAGAAATTTGTTTGGTTATTCTTTTGCAATTATTTGTGAATTTAACAGCACCATTCTAAATTATTATTGCACAAATGTTCATACTAATATCCGGTTTCACTATGTATGCTATTACATAAATTTACATGTATTTATCCAAGTGCACCGAAAGAATTCTTTTTAATTGCTGGTTTATTTCAGAGGTCGATACTTACTACACAACTGTTATTATCATGGTTGGACCCTTTCACTAGATGTCCATTTCTCTTCTCTTTTTTCCATCTAAATAAATGCTTTTCTTAGGTCTACGAAGTTTATAATCAAGACAATTACTTGTATCACACTTAAATTAACTTCTCAGACTCGTTTTATCTTCACTATGCATATAAGACTCATTGATAATCCTTATCCTTTTCACTTAATTAAGACTTTCATAGCATCACTCCAAAATATGATTGCACAAACATTTATTCTAGCGTCACATTGTAGTGACCTACTTTTATCAAGAGAATGCGATTTGTGTAATGGAAGCAATTATTATTATAACCAATTGTACCAGGGATTGTTTTACCGTACTTGTCCGTTTAACTGTATCGAAACACGCACGTTCTTCCATTGATCGTGACCTTGCACGAATTCGGTTACGCTCAGTAACCACACTTGTAACCTGGCACGATCTCGGTATTGTTTCGATACCACGAGATCGCCAACAAATACATCTCGACTACAGCCATCAACTGCCTTCTGATATTTGACCTACGGGGATCTTATCGGATAAGTGGCACGTAGTTTTCCTGTAGTGTTGATCATAGTCAACCGCGACTCGACGCAAAACCACAATATCTTGCTGCAATAATAAGTTATTTTTTCATAATTATATTCTATCTTATTTTGTCACTAATTTGACGATACATACATACTCATTTATTCTTGTTCTGTGTTCATATACACGCCTATTGAACTATTTACGTATTTCATGTCTCCTTTATTTCTATTCCCTAATTTTCCTCCCATCCTTCTTTAAACGCAATATTGTTCTCAACTATACAGAATCTGGTTTATTATCATTATTCTATTATTATTACTCTCTTTTTTCAAATATGGCACATATAATGCTAACATTATTGAAACTTATGCATTATTGCACTTTTGAAGAAACCCGAAATGGTTTCTTCACAACATTTGTGAATAATAATAATAATGATAACAATAGTAATAATAATGAAGTAGACCACAATTTACAGGTCCACCAATCCATTAATTTTATTACTGAAGTCTGAAGGCCACATCACAACAATCACTTGCATTGTTTTGAGCACTAGATCTTTTAACTATGGGCCATAACATTGGTTAGCCTTTACAGGGACTAGTTAACGTATATTATTTCTTATTCTTGATCAGTGGATACAATTTTGTACGTTGTTAGGATACAAGCTGAAAAACATATCCATCTCATGAATCCACTCTAGAAAATTTGACAGTTCAGTGATAAATCTAACTTATAAAGTGTTTATAATGACATTTTTTTCAATGACAAAATACTTTTTTACATCTTTGTTCTCAAGATATTTACACCTCGTTGATTTCCTCCTAACTTGCTAGCATATTCTCCGAGGCTAAACACCTATTTAAAAACGGACTATTTGACGTATCTAACTGTAAGTTCTTTCGTATCTGATTATTCTGTGAGATCATTAAAGTAACTCGTCAGTTTTCGCCAAGTTTTTGTTTATTTCTTCTGTGAGGTAGATTCTCCTTTTTGTTTTGATTTATGAAGGTTTAAAAGACAAGTAAGTGTACATCTAGTAGCTTGTTAGTAAACGTAAAATGCGTGCTTTCCCATTATGGTGTTGAGTAGCCCGCTAACTGTACTTCCTCAGATATTCTTGCTTGTCTTTTCTTCATTTCCTTATAAGCTCTGATTGCCATATAGAGGGGAGGTACAAAAATTCACTTGAGATAATTGTTGTGAGAATATGAGTGCTACCGTGACAGTAGATAATATATTGTAAAGGCATGTAGCAGCTGTCGACTGTCTCCTAATACTCGACATTAGATATCATGGAATTCAAAACATTTGTATCAAGTACCGAATTTATAGCAAAAAGATTATTCCGCTCTCCAGTTTCTCCTGTAGACGGCCTCAGAGACACATTATACTTTGTTGCCAAGAATTACATCCGCTATAGCCTTTATAATCTTAGGATGAATATAGTAGAGACCACTGGTTTTGTCTCGCTTGAAATGTATTCATGAGAATGCTCTCTTCTCAATAGCCATAGAAACCACCAACCAGCTGAGCTTATCATTATTAATTGTTTTTCATATACTATCTTCAGTAGACAACTCTTAATCTCACTGCTCCAATAAAGCTTCAGCTTTTTCAACGTCACTTCTTCCTAAAATCAAAGAATTGTCTCATACTAACAGCGATGGGACCTCATCACTTCTCTCAGTTGGTTTATTTTAATACGAAAACAAACCTTTGAGGCTGTTTTTACGGTCTCTAACAAATGTTTTCACAAGGAGCCTAGTTTTACTAATCAGTGCTTTGCAATCATTTCTAGCTGTACATTAAGTGGATCTGAACCGTTCAAGGCCTGTAGAGATAAACAGTGTTCAATGCTTTTCCCAACGTATGAGAAGTTTCATGCTCTCTCTAGTTGTCCATAGTGGGTAGTTGCTAGGCTTGTGTCGTGTTGAGCATGGTTTAAATAAGGATGTAAGGAAACGAACCGTATCTTTAAACACAGATCATACTTCTTCAGCTGAGCTGGTATTTCCTGACCAGTCCTGCATGGCTGTCACTTTTACCCTCCAGACATTTGAGCGCGGTCTGACCTGATGGAATACTACAAAAGAAGCCCTAAACGTGAATAACCGAACAGCATGATTGCTATTTGCCAACAGTGTGAAATTATTTAGGCGAAATCCTCAGTCACGTGAATGATTACTAGGTCTAACAAAGAAGAACTAAAATATTTGTGTTCAAATATAGGGTGTACTAAAACATGCTCCATCAAAGTCGTTAGACGCCTACTACTGAAAGTTTTTGGACCATAAGTTGAAATTCTCTGTGCATACAATGTCAGGTTCATCAATATTAAGCACATCTTATATTTGTTCGGTCACCTTCTATTCTAAAAAAAAATCAGCTTTTGAAGCAATGTTTTTTCCTTGTACATTTAAGGCGCAAAGCTCGTTTTTCTAGGTCGCGATACGGTTGTTCCCAAAATGAAGTTCTTCGCTACGAAAGCTCCAAATGAGGAAGTTTCACTGACCAATAGGGTGTTTTTTAATCCGAAGGATTTTAATGAAAAGCTTGGGTTCGTTTTATATAATAATCTCAGACATTTTCTCTAGTTGCGTAGCCATACACACTGCGGCTGATAAATATGTATTTCGTGCGGGTTCACACGATCATGTCCCTCAAGGAAAGGTTGCGTTTGGTTTGGCTCAGGTTAGCTTTCTTTTTTTCACACGGATCTTTCCAGTGGAACTTTCAGGTTTACAGGTCGTTAAACTGGTGTAAAATACTAGATAGTAGTTCACCATACTGATGACTTTTAGGAATTCATCATTCAGTTAAGAAAGTAAGATAGTGGTTGATTGTAGTCACTTTGAAACTCTGGACTTAGGTTTTGTATTATCTGGCACTTGTCAGCAACTTGCATCTGTTATCTCTAGGATATGAATGCTTTTTTGCAAATTCGGTTCGTATGTAAAAACACCACCACTGAGCTATTCGGACAGTGACTAAACCCCTGAAAAACTTAAATGTACTCTTGATCGATCACTAATTTTCAACCAACGTCATTCACATATATCCCTTCATCTTTGAACTAAGTCTATCAACCTTACACCTCGTTATATTGCAAATAATTTTGAGTCACTTAATTTAATTGCAAGTCGCAAATTAGTTGGCAGTATTCGATCAGGATTGCAGTCCTTTTATAAGAGGAGCTTGACAAACATGAGTGGTTGCTACTCAGCGACCAGTCAATTGTGAATCATGAATGTTTAGTTCCAAAACAATTGACAATAAAAAACAAAAAACCACTGTGAAATAGATTTAGCATGGCAAACTTTTGTGTTGAGACATTCATTAGAGTAAAGGAAGAAGGGTAAGTCTGCTCATTAGCAGTCAGGGTAGTGTTGGGTGTCTATAGGGGATTTGCCGCCAATTAACATCAGCTTTAACGAAGAAAGGTCAGTTATTAGTAATCCAGCTCGAGTTATGGGTTGGTATCACGAATTATGATTAAGGCTGACAGCACTAACTGACACTAGTTATTACGCAATGATGCTTTCTCATTTATGAACTTAAGGAAGTTAATGTTGAGGTTTAGTTGAGTATTAACGTGAGAAAGTACTATATAACTACATAAACACGTAGATATAGATTGAATCACATCAAATACTCGAACATACAATCTGCGTCAGAGGGAGTTTCTTATAATTTAGCTTCATCACTGGCTGAATAATAAATCTTCTTTTGACCATTTTCAAACATTTTTAGTGGCCCTAAATCTGACTCCAGGTTGATTGTTCTTGATTGTTGTCGAATGATTGCTGTCAAAATATGCATCCCGGCTATCGTACATAATCATCGACTTAATTCGCGTTAGCGCATAACGGAATTAAATAAGTCAAATGCAAGAATGGATTTCAAATACGTGTATTCCGTACAATCGTTGATCGGAAAGCGGAAGAAAATAAAATGACGCGCAATGGAGAAGACGAGTGAGCCAATTAGATTTAATCAAGCGTTAATCGACATCTATAGTCATAAAAACAAGTTACAGACGTGATGAGTAAGATAGGAAATGCACACATACGCTTATATAAAAACAGTTAAGGTTGATAAGCGAATAATTAACAAAGTTGAAATGTAACTTAAGGAGAATGGAGAAATTTTCCTGTCCAGAAGTTAGAGTAAGCTGTGTTCGCTTAACGCAGCAACAGACACCACAATTTCGGTAACCAAATCTTCACAATTTTTCTATTAGGTCCTGCTGATATACTATCTTGCACTGTTCCTCAAATTCCACACAAATAAGTTCATGAGCTTCTGCCTTAATTCTGATTGGTTCACTGACGGTCGTCAATGTAGCATGCTTTTAGTATACATTGTCACCTTAATTGCCGTTACTGAGCACAGTATCCATATGCGGTTTGTTCGTTTTTACAAAGCGTTGTTAGCTTTTTCACGGTATTTCTTAGGTCTTACTCCAGTCGCTTAATAAGCTCTGTAGAATCATGGCATCTTGTTTTTACAGGCTGCAGAAGTTCCGCAGTTTTTAACGGTAGTAGATATTAGTCCCTTCAAGTACTCTACGTCGATGGCTTCTGGTCAATAAAATGATCTCAGCAAACGGAACTTCAGTGTACACGTGATAACATATGTTCAGACTTCTATACTTTGTGATTTCGGAAAGGACGGGAGGCTCTGTAAGAACCATGACAATTTAGTAATGGACTCTACTGGTTGATCAGATCTTTTGACTGGGTCTATAAGGGCTGTTGAGGGAAAACTTTTCATTGGAAACGATGGTGGTCTGTTGAAAAGTACTTGTTCCTGACCTTATTCACGTCTTTGGAATGTTGTAAATTATACGTGAAGCTTTGATTGGAATAATTGAAGTCCAGCTTTTAAATGTATATAACTCTTGGAGCATGAAGTCATTTTTAGCTTAGGAATAAGGAATGAGCATAGAGGTTCGGAAAAGGAAGACACACATCTAACAATCAAGGAATTACTCACGTCTGCTTCCCCTCGTGGAGGAGCACACCAGCGTTTTCAATCGGACTCTATCTCGGGCAGTCCTCAGTTGTTCTTTCTTTTCATGTCTGCTTCCAATTCTCGACGCCATATGTTGTTTGGCCTACCTCTTTTCCGTTTCCTTTCAAGATTCCAAGGTAGCACTCGCTTTGTGATGCAGTTTGGTGATTTCCTTAGTGTATTTCCTGTCCACCTCAAACGTCTTTTCATAACTTCCTCTTCATCTGGAGGCTGATTTGTTTTCTTCCACAATAGGCTGTTGCTGATAATATCCATAACAGTCAAGGAGGATGCATCAAATAAGTTTTACTGAAATCACGAACCCATGTAAGTTAGCCAGTTATTGAAGATCTGGGAGCACCGAACAACTTTTACGTCCTATTCAAATCCTTGTTCCTACTTTTTTCAAATTAAATCTACATCATTGTTTCGATTAGTTCCTGAGTTTCATGTCTCGATTAGCATCAAGAGAATAAGTTTTGGACATTAAATTGGTGTAATTAGTGATTTGTCCATACGAAAGTGCGCCCAAGTATTTTTGATAATTAAGTTTGTATGATTTGTTAATAAAGGTTTGAGATAGGTTATGATGCCACTTGCTTTATTCATAAATGATTGGTAAGCAAAATTTATTAAGCTTAGTGCTGGAGGTTGCCTCTCTCTTTGCACCGTGCTGTTAGTGTTGTATACTGGAGGTAGCAGGTGGATCTAGAATTTATGCATAGTTCTTTTTTGTAATAAATGAAAGTGGTTCGTCGTATATCATTTGTTAACTGTAATAAGTATTTAAACTATAACTTCTGTGCGTTCATACTAAGGATAATCATCTGATAAGTAACGGAATCTTGAAACGTTTGGACTAGTAGTTAACCAATATTTATCCGAGGCTCCTGTCTGGTAATATATTCCAACGGCGGGATTACATGAGAAAAGCGGAGAAGTGGCTAGTTTATGAAATAGTTAAGTAAACTGATGAATAATTTTGTTGGCTTAGTACCTGGTGATGTTAAAATTCCCTAGATAAGGTTTGATTAATCATGAAACCAGGTGTTTCGAGTTGCTACTGTACGTGGCTCGGAATTTAAACTTGTGGGTATCATAGCATATTTTTCTCTGTTCTTCATCAGTAGCGGTGTGCTGTTTAACGAATCCTTCAATATTATTGTGTTACTGTTATTACATAGTTACTATTGCTGCACATTTAGTTTTGTGTAAAGCACTTCTTAATATCCTGTCGCTCCAAACTCCTTGTAAATAAAAATGTTCGAAAGTTCTCTCCCTCATCTTTAAGTTATCTGTGTATAAATCTACAAAATGCATTAAGTACTTTATTTTTGAGTAATAATGAGTCAGTAATCATATTTCTTATTATTTTATCACCATTCCTCCGGCCTCCAGATATATGATCGTTTCCTTCTTTCCACATTTGTTCCTAGTAAATTTGACCACCCAAATATGTATCGAATTCCATAAGTATTAATCTTATTACATTTGGATACTGTTGTTAAATCCCGTGTAGCTGTGTCGATTATTTACAACTAAGAAACAACGTAGTTTTTCATAAAAATTTTGCAAACATTTATGACAATTATCTGGTATTGCCAGTGATCCTGCAGAAACAAAACCTTCCAAATGAAGTGTTTGACAGTTTAAACAAATATTCCTGTGTTATTGAAGACTACATTGTCCCATCTCATTCATTCCCATCTATCTTAAAACTAATCGGTTTTACTCCTCATTCATGGTTAGTTATTCGCAGGGACGTTTCAGTTCACGACTAGTTTCCTGAAGCTGTAAAAATTTAGTGAAATAGCTTTTAGTTTCTTGGTTTAAGAAAATTAAAATACTTTCATAATTAATCATAAAAACCCAGTCTGTTGTCTTAAAAAGTAATCACTACACTGTAAGACTTTCAAACCCGAAATTCCTTGGTTCTAATTGGCCACTTAACGATATATTCGTCTAAGAATCGAGGTGGATTCTAATGCTCTTATCGATGAAGTTCCGTATAAGCTCAAGTGATAGCTCATATGTAATTTGTTTGAAACAGTAGTTGGTTTAGTGAGATTTAAAACAACAACCCTTCATAAACGGTTTATTGACCATTATGTGTTTGATCAGATAAAAATTCTATCCCAATTGAGCTTAGTGAAGTTTGTTTATGCACACGTGTAACAATGGTATTTTGTTTTGCAATTACTTGGTATAAGAGCGTTATTTTACTACGCTTTGATGCCGGTGATTCAACCGAGTAAACAGTTATTTGGAAACCTTGGATGTACATTTCATGTTAGCTGAGACTCCAACAAAGTAATGCTGCATCACAAATTTTAATCTGTTCCACCAAATTTTAAACTTCAGACGTTACCATCAAAGTTATTCGGTCTGAAATAACTTTCATTCGTACTTATTTAGCTACTTCATTCCGTCAGTTACTGGTAACGTTTGCTATTTTATATTGCCCACAATTTTGATCGTCTTCTCTTGATTACGTTTGCCACTCAACTGGGTTATCGAGCATTGAAATCCATTTCATTTGACGTTGAGCAATTAGAGATGGTTTTGTAAGGTCGTCATTTTGTGTTTTTTCGGTAACAATCGACAAGATCAATCTTTAATTTATCTTGGGGAGATAAATATGTCAGTGCTTGCGTTTCAAACTTGGTTTATTGGATTCGTTTGGCAATAAGGTTTAAAATGCACTAGTCGCGTGTATAGAGGCAAAGTATAACCGAAAAATTACAAATTTACTTATTGGTTCTGGATAAATTTGCATTTTATTACAGAATTTTTTGGTATTATGTCTTATTATAAAAATAAAACAGGTAATTTAAACCTTATTTATTTATTATTCAAAATTTCTAATTAAGTGAATGGATTTTAACGTAGTACCTCTTGTAGTCATGTTAGCATTATTTTTGCGGTAATATCGATCCTGTTATACGTCTATATCAGTTTTTTACTTAAACTTGACATGGTCTTATGAACTCTAAAGTGATAGTACGTACACTTTTAATATGCTCATTGTGATTGTTTTACAAATTTATTAAATTTTAGAGTAACACTTTTAAGCGTTTCTAGTATCTCAATAACACTCAGAAACACTCATGTTTTTTTCAGTCTTCTAAAGTGTTTTATATGCTTAGTAATCAAAAATTAGATGATCTGTATCGAATAAAATAGCGCAATAAATTAACAGTGTTCAGTAAACATGGTAATAAAGTGACACTGAGACTGTGATCTGTTGGTTGCAACGCATGACTTTCAACCAGATTAGAAACTCTCATCATCTACTTCAGTTTGCATAATTGGGTAGTATTATTAGACCCTGTGCGAAAATTGTGTGTCTGAAAGTCGACCGTATAAACTTTGACTTGGTTACATTGTGTCATTACACTAAAATAAATTAATAAACCATAAAAAGGACAGGAAAATTGGATGGAATATCATGTGAATAAAAAGGTGCGTTATAGAATTAACTCTAACTACAGGCTTTTACACATTACAAGCATTAGGCGTGGTACTGTAATAATACTTGTTTTATTCAGTAGTGACTTTTATCATAAGTTGATGCCAACTGAATAACCTTTGAAAAAATAGGGAGTTTTAGTCAATTGCTCTGTCTTAGTGTGAGATTTATTAACAAAGCTTTCAGGTCTCATATACCAGTGAGTCGGGATTTAGTGGTTCATATTCACAACAGCACTCTGCTCGCGATATAAAATGACGATTATCTAATATTTTAAAGTGGAATTGTATGACTTTCGATATTGTTCAAATTCATTAGATCTTGTTTCATTCAGTTTAAGATCATTGCTTACTTGGAATGTAATTTATTTCATTAAAAGTTATCTCACCTTGTACTTTACTATTTCTCTCTATCTAGAGTACCTGTGATATAACATAGACATACAAGAATGACATGTCTGTCCCTAATCCTATTCTTCCGTCCTTTATTGAGGAAATAGTTATCTGAAAAAATCAATACATAATTTTTCCTCTCCTTTACGTGTACTCTCAAAGTCTTTGTAAATACTCAAAATTATAAATCACCCTATCTCTATTTATTTCTGTGATTCTGATTACTTTATCAAGTAGGATATATATTCACTTGTCAGCATTTCTAAAATAAATCGAATATCAATTTAGGGAATTAGCTGTACGCTTATATATAAACCAGGCAATGTCTTAAAGAAGTGTATGCATCAAGTTTTATATTCCAAAAAAAACTCAGTAATTTATTATTTATTTTAACACATAGATATTGGTACAAGGAGGCACCAAGTACATATGCACCACGCGAATCTCATTTGATATGTGTGAGGACTGTGGTACTGCCCGGGTGCCCAAACCGAACCAGGTGGTTTTCTTGGGGGGCCACACCCAGAGCCTTTGACCTGTAGGTCTGATCCACAAGGCAGTGGATCAACATTAGGAGATGTATTCCCATGGTAGCCGGTGATCAACGATTGGTTCATACGCCATTTGTTCCCTCAACATACTGGAACCCATGTGCACCATTAGTTTGAAATCAGGGTTTTCAACTCCCCTGGGTGAACTCTCGATGTCCACCAACCCGGTTGAAGCGCCGGACATTCGCTTTCGTCCTCTCAATTTCGTAGGCAACACCCCTGCCTCGAGGAAGTGAGTAGGACTTCCCTGACAGAGGCTAAATATGCGTGGCCATGTAAGAGCATTTAGTGAAGAAGAGCGGACTCTACTCACTCGGCCGTACCAGGGCATTTGGGAGCTCTATTTTATATATATTTATTATAGTGGTTATAAATTGCTTTCATACTCTAAGAAGAAGCTGGTGGTATGTTATTTGTATTCCAACCGATTTAATCAACTGAAGTTCCACATTCTCATCAACTGGTTTGATACCTTCAGTTAAAGATTTTTTGTTTTTAATATAAACACTTTCTTGTGGCCCACGAACTAACTTCCACTTGGAAGAACAAATGAATATGTCATGAATACAAATCTTCTTTTGAACTCCGTATATTACACCTAAGCTAAATCCGTTTGTGCGATAGCGGCAATAATAAGGTAAACATGGATTAAGTTTGATGAATTTATTTCAGGCACTCGTTAATTCAGACATTAAGAATGAAAGCGGGAAAATAAAGCAGAAAATTATCAAGTGTGCCAACTTAATTTGATCAAGCGTGATTCAATATTTGTAGTCAGATAAAAATAAGCCAAAGGCATTTGATAACTGGAGTTAGCGATACACACACGCTCATATAAAAACAGTCAAGGTTAGTGAGCGAACGATGGACAAGAGTAAATAAATTTGTCTGTCCGGAATCTAGAATAACCCATATAGACTTGGCACAGTACTAGACACTACAGCCGACTTGTACAACTACATAGGGGAATTTCGTTATTTCTTAAGGCTCTTCAATAAATAATTAACCTGATCATTTAATGGCAGTCGTTATCCTATTAGCGTAGATAGATATATTTCTTACATAATTTCTTTTCTTTTAAAATGGTACATCTAGTTTGCTGTATGAAATTAACCATGTACATAGCTGATGTGTATATGAAATTTTTTTAAACACAAATTTATGAGAACCAATGCTCATAGAAGTATTAACTATTTGTAATTAGTAGTGAAATATATTTTTGAAGTTTAGATTTTATGCCTTTATCATTACATAATTGAACTACAACTGATAACTTGTAATTTATTTTGTAAAACTATTTGATTGTTTATTCTGTATAAGTAATTTTATTATTGTCATTATTCTCAAATTATTCACAGCGTAAATGGGGCAATATTTCAGTAGATGAACCGTTAGATGTTCAACCATACACATTTAATTTGGCTCGTGAATGCCTAGGTTCTGCAGTTTTGGCTGTGGATTTTAATAATAAAAAAATGTAAGTGTTAGTTAAATAGGGTTTTATTTAAAAAGAAACGTATTCTGTTAAAATCCTGGTGTAAATGTTTGGATTTTTCAACTTTATTGTTTATACATAGAAATGTAATACATGAAATTAAACGTTACCTTCTCCTCTGTGAGTTTTAGACTATGTGTAACTTTCAGCTTTCCATCTAGCCTGAAGGTACCTTATGTACTGAAATAATGTGAAAATCAGTGTATCAAAGAATCTGAAAGGGAATAAGTAGGCTAAAAACTTAGTAAATACATGAAATCCACTTGCATCTTCTACAATCAGTAATAACTCAAGCATAAGATTAAGATATCCCAATAATTGAAACTATATGTTAGCGTAAGTTTCCAAAGGCGTAACAATTTTTTGGACACTCGCTCATTGAGAGCCTTCAGTGCAATTGGGTGTCCTTTATATTTTGGTAACTAAAAATTCCCTGTAGAATATTTAAAAGTAAAATTACAACAAAGAATTGTTTTCGATAAATTCGTCAGGTTCTACAGTTATAAACCAACAATTATTGCATTATATCGGACTAAATATTAAGGTATGGATGTAAACTTTTTGGTTGGATTAACTAATGTTATAAATAGGAAATAGTGGATTTCACGACGGGTAGGTCTTAAATATTAACGGTTCGCATCATGGGTCCAGTTATAAAGGGTCATACCAGAAGGAGTAGAAAAAATTATTTGCCCTTGTTGGGGATGTTAGATCCCCAGAACTCACTTGGTAAATGCCTTAATTTTATAATTTTATTTTGGGAATTTAAAATTTCTTGTTTTCGCGCCAAAAGCGCACTTTTCACCTTCATGTCGTATTTCCCACTTAGGAGAATCTTTAGCACTATTGGTCCGTTGTGTATTTTTAGTATGCTATTTTTGCAACGCTTCCCAAGGACAGTTTTATGCTGTGTATATACGTTTGATTTATGTCTGTTACTATTCGCTCGTGCTTCTGGCTTACGGAATACACTTTACCGTTCCAAGCTTGTACTGGTTCCTCTAGTTAGCGGCGCTGGGACTCATCAAATAGCTAGCTTATTGGTCTACGGTCAAAAGTCTTTGTCTCGTTCGCATACTAAGTGAACTCGTAATAGCTTCAAACCTAGCAGCCCTCATTTGATGAGTCCTGAGCAGTAGTTTAGTATTGTAACATATTTGCCAAGTATATGCGTTTATATACTTCGATTTTAACTTAATGAGGAAGAATGTACTTGTAAAATCTCAGCGAATAAATTTGAAGTAAATCTAACGTTTCGCCTGGCAATCATGTCCAAGCATTTTCAAGGGAATATAATCAAACATCAAAATTATCGAATATAATTAAGTACATTGTTCTCTGGTTAACTGAATACTAAATAGGTCATCCAACCAACGTTAACAATGTTTAAAGTATAAATTCATTAGGTATTGTTGCTTGTATCTTCCGATTGTTGTTTAATCTTGCAATTGATCAGTCTCTTACTGGCATATTTGCATATTGCCTTAAGTCACAAGCATTATAATTCACGATGGATGTAGGTTAGCGTTTTATGCATGCTGTGATATATTTTATTCATATCATATACATAAATTGTATATTTTCTTAAAAATTCGCTGATTAGAAGCAATATATAACGAATGAAATTTTTTCTCACACCACTTACGTATACACACAATCTGTTATCTTAACACGCTTTTCGTTTCACACCATATGTCTCTTACACAATAATGCGAATACCTACTTTAAACATTGTTAACGTTGATTAGATGACCTATTTAGTATACAGTTAACCGGAGAATAATGTACTTATTTATATTCAATAATTTTGATGTTTGATTGAATTTCCTTGGAAAAACTTGAACATGATTGCCAGGCGAAACGTTAGATTTACTTCAAATTCATTCGCTGAGGTTTTACAAATACATTCTTCCTCCTTCATGTCTCACATCACCTCGGCGTCCAAATACTGTGAAACTGTTCTATCAGATTTAGACGAAGGTTAGACTTTCAAAACTTATCAATTCACTCGATACATAAAGGATACACACTATAATTTATAAGGTACTGCTTTTCTGTACGTTTTCTTGGACATACATTGCGTAACTCCCGTTCAACCAATTCTTAGATTTTGCTCACTTTGGTTTAGGTAACCGAGTAGTATCATTATCGATCTAACGTATCATGAAGTTGTATACAACTTGCTTCATACAAACTATTTTTGTCTGTTTACTTGCATTTATAAATGGAGGAAAGTTGGCTAATGGTGTTTAGTCCACTGTCTCAGTATTGTGTGCATTATTCATGATGTAATAGTCGCTTCTCTCTCTCTCCTCATTTTTTGACATTTCAACAATTTTCATTTTAAATCTCCTAGGTCGATCAATGAGCCATTAGATTCAGATCGAATGGCTTTAGAATTCAGCATGCAATTTGCGGATACACCATTGACCGTCGGTCAGCATATCCTTTATCGGTTTAACAAAATGACATTCCTTGTTGAGGTTAAGAAATTGTCAGGTAAGTATTAACACACACAACTCCTGTAATGTTTGTTTTGAAGTAAAGGTTTTATGATCGATCTCTTAGATTTTGTAATATGTGAATACTACCTTGTAACTGATTATTTCATACAAGCTGGAGTAGTTCTAACCTTTAATATGAGCGTCCGTATTTCATTGTATGTGCATTGACTAACGATAGAAAATGTTAACCGACTAGCGCTTATTATTAGGATAAACAGAATAACATAAAATCTCATACAATAGCTGAGTAGGTTGATACAATTTGTTCTGTATAAAATGACAAAAAAATCTGAGTAAGAGAAGTAATGAAATTAACTAAAAGAGCATTAAAAGTTCATTAATTAATCACTAGAGAGGTAATCAATGTCCTATTTTCTAACTGCTTTATTAGTGATGATTGGTTTACCAATGATCAATTGACATAATTCACTAAACTCAAGTCAAGTGGTTAAATGTTTTTGTGTAGTTTACTTCTTGTTATTTAGTTGGAAATAGTCGGTGGTAGAAAACCATGCTTGACCTAAATTTCGTCGTAATTAGGGCTCGTTAGCAAGGTGTACTTTGAATTTCAGAAAAACCGTTAGTGGAATGTGGACCCCTGTTACTCAGCTTTACAGTCTGAGACACGTAACCACTGAGCTATTCGAGACATTATCATCCCATGTAAGGTTGAAATATTTACATTGATTGGTCACGATTTTATTCACTGACTGTGATCAGTTGAAAGATGATCAGAAACATGTCATAGAAACGAATTAAATCTATCGCTAATTGTTTTGTCTTTTTGTTCAGTCTATGAAAATTGTCTGAATATCAAACTAATTGTTATGACGTGATAATTCCTTTATATAACTCGTATTTGAATTATGTTTATAATAAATGTTATTGTGTTTATTTTTAAGCTTTGTCAATGGATGGTGGTGTTGACAATAGTAAAGTAAGTCTACTAACACACTGTTTTTGTGTAGTATTGTAATGGAACTTCTTTTTTTAGAAATAATTTTAGAGTGTAACACTTATTGAGGTAGTGACTAAATTTCGTCAACCACTTTTAGGATTACTCAAACAATAAATGGTCTTTTATTTCCAAGTCAACTTCATAAATTACTTATTGTTAAATACATGGATGAAATGTACTTCATAGTCTAAAAATGGTTTGTTCTCAAGCGAGGAAGGTACCTCATTTATCTCAGAAACCTTATTAGCTCTGGTTCGTTGGTGTTTAACGAGATCTCGGTAAAGAATTTAGGAGGATGGGTTGGCCTTCACCTTCTCGAGTCATTTGTGGTGTAGACAAAATATCCGTCTCCCAACTAAAGGGCGAGTATACTGTTCAGCACTCCGCGCTATGGCTGTGGAACTTAGTCTATAAATGTAGAAGACATACGTGGGCTATACTCAACAAGTGTTATATTAACTCCTTGCTTCTCAGCTGAGTTACTAAGCTCATACACTATTTTTACAGTATATTTTATCAGGTAATGCGGCAACTGGAAAACTGTTGATTCTTTCTGTGTAACATTAAAATCTGCTTGACAGAAGGTCCATTCACTTTTTAATGTTTGTTAAAAGTGTAATTCATATGGGGTATTCTAATGTTTCTTATGATCTCTTTTTATCAACATTTTTTGACCGGATTGATCATACTATTTTCCACATTATTCTTACTACTACCCTCAACAGATTGGCATGTTAACTGGGAATACAGTAATTCGTTGGATGCCTCAATCAGATTCTAAATTATTATTAATTGGTAAAGCTGCATTGGATGACGATGGAGCTAGTTCTATTGGAGGGGGTGGTGGCTATCATAGTATCATCAATCCAAATTGGGATTTTAATCAAATGGGTATCGGTGGATTGGATAAGGAATTTTCAGCTATATTCCGACGAACATTTGCATCACGAATGTTTCCTCCGGCAGTTGCAAAACAATTAGGTTTGTATAATTCTTTATTGATTTCTGGAATTGTTATGCTAACTAATGGTGAAATATTTTCTTTCTCAAGTAGTACACATGACCTTAGTAACATCTGCGCATTAAACTGATGAATTTCTGTGTTGATCATAAGTTGATTATAGTTGTGAATATCAGTATAACTGAAGTAAGAGACATTGATTTACAAACTAAAATGCTCTTTATACTCCCTTTGGCCTTTTATTTGAAGTGTTCAATTTTAATGTTTAGAAAAATAAGATAAGTAAACACCTTTGAATTCCAATCATGTTTTCGAATTTTTTAACGCTTATAGTGATGTATCCTTGAAACTAACTTCATGGTGGTTACCTTCGATTGCAGTCCCCGAACGCCCCGGTATGACCGAGGGTGGGGGAGTCCACCTTACCTTTTTAAAATATTCTCATATGACCACGCTCACATAGCCGCTGTCAGAGAAGTCCTACTCTCCGCCTTCTGACGACAGAGTCGTTAACGAAATTGACAGAACGAAAGGAAAATGTCCGGCACTTAGACTTGGTTGGTGGATACGAAGGACCCACCTAGGGTGCACTTGGGCCCCAGCTTCCTGATGGGACAAATGGTGTGAAAACCTTGGTCGTCGGTCGCCATGAGAATGTATCACTTACCGCTACCTTGTGGACTAGATCTTTAGGTCAACGACTCGGGGATCGGCTGCCTAAGAAAAATACCTGCTTCAGGTTTGGCACCAACCTTCACACAAATGTTTTGTAGCGCATATATGTTTTGGTGCCCATCTGTACAACTGTTTGTGTTCAAATAAATGCCAACCTTATGAAATGTTATAATAGGCCGCGTAGAATTAAACAGAGGTAGATGGTGACTAGCAATGGAATCCCGGATGCGCCTTTCGTCTTACTTGGTATTCGTCAGCTGTATGTTCCTGTATCCCAGAGTTGATGTTCACTTCGGGACTCCGAACCAATATCGTTCGTTCCAAATGCTATCGCGTTATCCACCTGACTACTGAGTCCTGATAGCCACTTTCTTGTGCAATAAGGTGAAGCAGGTGCATCCAGCTGAAGAGTCCCAAATGGGACGAAACGCGCGTCCAAAATTCCACTGATGGCTACCACTCATCTATACTTATTATGCTTGCGACTTAAGGCAATATCGAGTCAATCTCCACAGGATGCACATATGCCAATAAGAGACTGATCAACTGCAGTCCTAGACATCAATGGGAAGATTCAAACAAACAATACAAAGATGAATTTTGTAGAATTAAGTTTGCTCATTTTATTATCGAGTGTTGCGAAAACAAATCATTGTTGCTGTATTGGGCAATGATTAAAGCATTCAACTAATACTATTTTACAGGGTTTCGTTTGGGCAGTTGGGTAACATCACCTACCCTTTAAATACAAGACGCGTTCTTCAAAGTTGTAGTGAGTCATAATCAATGTAGGATCTCATAAGATTGTACATTAGTCCAAGATGGCATGCCACAACAGCATGAAGAGTTACTTAGGGAATGAATCAAACTAATTATAGTAACAATAATAGTGAAAAAGATTAAACATTAAGGGTATGGTTTAAGAAGATGAAATAAAAAGGTATACTTGAAGTAATATTAGAAATAATGAACTAAAGGAAAATTAAGTGTCAATACAACTACTTCACTGTGACCGATACTGATCGCTATCACTCAGTTTCTTCAACTATTGATAACCGTTATCGTACTGGCTGCACACATCAATATGGTTTGGGACCAACAATCATTGACTTTATAATTAGATGTTATGTCTTGGTTTGACCACTCTTAATTTTCTTTTCGCTTATTTTTTGAAAGACTGGTACAAAAGTCAGTCCTTGATTACAAATATACTTTAAATATGTTTTTCATTGTAATCTATATTTAATTAATAATGTTTACAGTTCACTGATTTTCTCCAGGTTACTGATTACTTTATCCTTTACTAACTAGTATTTTATTAAATTTGAATCTACTTTCATTTACTAATAATATCTTTTAATTATACATCAAAATAGGTCCATTAGAAAAGAAGAATTAATGATAATCAGTCAGTTAATTAGCTACAACGTAAGACCAGGCACATATATGCATCGGTCCAAGGTGCCATACCTCATTAACACAACAAGATGAACACCGGATTCATAAAAGTAGTTAATTCAGAGGTGGTAATGTATAAAAGGAAAATTGCAATAAGGATATAGTACAGGAAGAAAGAATTAGTTCGTAGAAAGAAAGATATGAAGCGATTTTAATCTCTTAGTTTAAGGGAAGACAGAGAGTGTATACACCGACACCATTGATAATAATCATTTCATAAACAAAGATTTTTTTGTACTAGAATGATTTGAATGGTGCTTTTGTATAGTTTCAAAGTAATTGTATGACCAGTAGCGACTATTTTTTTAAATTCAAAGTTTCAGTTCAGTAAATCATGTTCCATTAAGTAAAACGATACTAAGATAATTATAATTTTTAACATTAAGTTATAGTTGTACTGTACCGTAATTGCAAACTGGCTGAGTCAAAAAGTTAGGATTCAAGCATTAAATTAAAAAAATCATTGTTTTTGGTTATAACATTTGACTGTATGACTGTAGGGACTTCATACTAGAATTTAACTAAGTAATCAGTGATGAATATCGTTTGGTTAAAATTTAACTGTATCTGGTCAGCTATTCCTGTAAAATAGATTTATGAAGGCATGATACTTCTTCATGTACTATCTATCTATTTTCCCTGGTCCTACAACTGTACATTTATTCGTTATTGTTCTCGCTTGCATCAAGTTATATATACTGTGCTGGGATTTTCTTAAGTAGTAATTATCTTCTACTCAAGGAAAATCTATTTGCACAGAAGTCATTGTGAACTATTCAAGTTCTCTTGTTTTAATTCATTCTTAGGTAATATCTGTCTGTCCACAAAAGAACTTTTTTTACACCTTCATGTAAAAAGGTATTTCTTTTGTCCTGATATCTGACGGTCATAGTTTTGACCCTTCTAATAGTGTGTGTGCTGTCTACAGAGAAAAGCCGAATTAAGACAAGGTGATCATCTCGTTGTTCATCTGAAAGAACGAACTTCAGACAAAGATGTTTCATTGAAGCAGAAAAGTATAATTAGGTGGACACGCAAAATGACATTTATAAAAATGTATAATTAGTACAAAATCATAAAAAAACCGATTGACTGAAAACAAGTTTTTCAAGATAATGGTTTTTCTACAGATCTGAAATGTTATGCTTATTGGCTATTGGCTATATGCACCTAACATAAATGTTAAATAGTGAATATACCTATACTCAGTGTCTCACTACCTAGCGTCGGATACTCAAGAAAAGAAAATCGACAGTCAGTTTTTTCTTCAAAGTTCATTCGATTGAAATTTAACAATCGATTTCGTAAACAAAATGATCGATTCAGTCACTTCAGATCATTCTAATAAATTTATCAAATCGATTGTTTGATCATCAAAGTTTTCTTGTTCATTTTAAACCTGTAAGGTACATTTGCCGTTTATTTTCTTTTCTTAAAAAAGGACTTCAGTGATTTTAAATATCTTTCTTGTTCAGGTTTAAAACATGTCCGTGGTATTCTGCTATACGGTCCACCTGGTACTGGTAAAACACTAATGGCACGACAAATTGGTAAAATGCTTAATGCACGTGAACCTAAAATTGTCAATGGTCCAAGTATATTAGATAAATATGTCGGTGAATCTGAAGCGAATATCCGTAAATTATTCGCTGATGCTGAAGAAGAAGAAAAACGCATGGGTGCAAAATCTGCATTGCATATCATTATATTTGATGAAATTGATGCCATTTGTAAATCACGTGGATCTACAGTAAGCAGTTGTCATTACTGTATTTTTGCTTTATAGTACAATAAAACACTTAAATTTTCTACATGTGTTATCATCATTTATGAGACATAATAGTGATTGGGAAGTTGTTTAACAAAATGCAGATTCGTGGACAGTTCGGTTCAAAACGCCTTTTTATTCATGAGCGCTAGTTACATTTACAATTGATTTGTCACTGGGTAGTGACCAATGTCATGTATGTCAAGTCCTTCTTAGTGCTGATCAAGTTGCAGTGTGGCCACTAGTCTAAGTGACTTAACATCGCGTGCATAATGTTAAGTTGTAAGGTGGTGGTTCGTTGGCGGTTGTCGACATGAAACCTTGAACCTAGGTTTCATACCTTTATGTGGCACTTGTTGGGAATGTATACTTGTAATCTTGAAGGAAGCAATGTTTCCTGAAGAATTCAACCTCATGCCATTCAGCTTCACATTCAGATACATTACCACTGAAGTATCCGACCCGCAACTGTTTAAAATGTGATTTAGAGAGTAGTCTAAATGAGCTGTTTAAATTCTGGTATTTCTACTACCTAATTAGCTATCTTTCTGTATGTGATGCGATGATAAATACTTCTTAACTCAATTGTCCGTTTTCCATAGTATTATTCATTTCACGATGTTAAACTAAAACACTACACTTTTTGGTTTATATGATCTTCCTTGTCCACTCTTTGAAAATAAAAACTAGAAAGACGAATATATTTGAGTTCATGCATTCAACATTTGATCGATGAAAAAGAATATTTGTAGCGCCCGGATAAACAGAAAAGTTTCTCCATTTTAGATGAACAACAGGTTATTGGCTATTGAGAAAACATTTATAAAATATAAATTTTTTTGTGAATAATTACAGTGTCAATGTAAGGCTCAATTAATGCTGGGATGTTCTTACTGTGACATCATTAATAGTAAGCTATTACTTTTATTTGACTTACGTCTAAGAACGTCGCAAGTTACCATATTATTCGTTGTTTGAAATGCCACACAAAACGTTATGATAAAGTGACACATGTTAGTTGAACTCAACTATCCTTCGTTCCACTGAGCAGCAATCTTATATAATTACAACCTATTCCCGTCTTTAACCTTATTCTAGTGTCGGTGAGTAACCAACGATATATATATATATATATATATATATACATATATATATATATATATATATATATATACATATATATATATATATATATATATATATATATATATAATACTTTTCCACTGTGATTGTAACGATTTATTAATTACTCTAATCATAGCAGTTAATTTTAAAAAAATCAACTTTGAGAATACATCCGTATTGTAATTTCTAGTTTCACAGGGAGATTAGAAAACACTTGGTAGCCATCACATCAAGACACAATATTACTTTATAAAATTATTTACTGTTTCTAATCTGTTATTGGAGATTTTACTTGACAACTTAATATCAGTGGTTGGGATGTAAATAAATTCATCTAATTTTTTCTACATTCTTAATTTGCTATTATCCTTTTATTCACTATTTTCCAACTATTTTTTACAGTCGGTTCTTCATTATTTTTAAAAAATTCTAATGACTTATTCGCTTTTTTATTTATGAAAATTGTACCTAGATGTGTTATAAAATGATATATGGGTACTTGAACTATAATACCCATTTACTAAGTTGTAATTTTGTTTCTAGCTGGCTTTGGATCCTCACTGGCATTGAATTGCAATAGGTGAAATCTTAAGCAATACTCTTGTCCTACATTGTCTCGCAGTTTGTAAACAACTGTATAAAATATTAGGTCGGTCTTGAATGGTACAATTTTAACTTCAATCCATTTGTGATGTAGCTCGACAATCATCCAATGCGAATACTATCAATCTGTACAGAACGCCTTCAAATAAATTACGGGTTATTTATTTCTCTCCGTAAGAGTTTTAGTGTTCAATCAAGCATCTTATGGTGGTTGCTTGTTAAATGAATATATGTATGTGATATTTTTTCCTCTCGTTCAGGGTGGAGGTGCTGGTGTACATGACACTGTAGTCAACCAACTACTAACTAACATGGATGGAGTAAATCAGTTAAATAATATACTTGTCATTGGAATGACTAATCGACGAGATATGATCGATGAAGCACTTTTAAGACCTGGACGTTTTGAAGTATGTTTTTTTCGAAAATTGTGAACATTGTCGTTTTTACTACTTCTTATAAGTAGAAGAAATGTATGATCAATAGAGCTACACTGTCGTTTTTATATGTTTCATGTTTTTTTAATTGTTATGGCAACTCGAAGGATTTGATGTGACCATATTGTTAATTCGCTTGAATCTTAAACACCGGTTTTTGAAAATGGGACCATTAACCAACTAGCTAAAATATGTGGATATCTCCTAAGGATCATCAAAGCTACACAAAACGTTAAATGATGCTTTAGGATTGCAGAATCTACAGATTGAAGCTGTAATAATAGTACATGTTATACTTACCAACTATTAACTCAACAACCATATAATTCATAATAGTTTCTCTAATTATAAAGAAGGACGATTAGTTAGAGTACTTCATATACTGCTAATTTCTACTGTGCTCAACAGAGGTGAAGTGCTGAGAACTTCACAAGTTTATTGAATGAAAATATACTTGCGTACATGTTGTAACGGAACATAACCTAAAAATATGTTTATTGGCTTTATGTAATCGGTTTAAGACAAGCATTTTCCCGTTAAGTCTTCTCGTTAATGAGACTTCGTACCTCATTACATATGAAATCTACTGTTTCACCGAAAACTACGTTCGTGAATCAAGATGATGCATCAGTTACGAATTTATTATTCATTTCCAAATTTCTGATTCTATTGACAAATTCAAAGTTATCTTTTGCACTGTGCTTTAAGACCTCTTCACACAGTGGTTTTAGAAGTTCTGCTATCCATTGTGGAGTCACGTAGTAAGGTGGATTAATCTTGTTTAGGATTGAGTGAAAAGATAAACTAGTTTTATTTACTATGGGGGGGCATAGAGTCTAGGTGTCGCAGTACCAGTGCGTTTTAGTATCACGTATAAGTCTTAAAACATTAAAATTGTTTGTTTCAAGTTTCAGTATTATCTTTAATCTTAGAAAAGATTGATTGATTTGTCAGCATAAATTAGCCATAAATTACAACTTACATTTTTATAAAGGTCTTAATAAATTCTATTTGAAGAAGGCATGAGTATGTAAAATCAAAACTAGTCATTTATACCGTCAGCATCTTTTGCTTTCAGTTTTCCTGACGTAACTGTAGTTTAAATGTACATATCGAAATCAAGCCAATTGAATATTATCAGTATATAGGGTTGTGGAGATTGTTAGGTTTTGATTGAGATCGTGACTGCCGAAGAGTCCCATACTATGACGAAACGGCCGTCCAGTGCTTCCAAGTTTTCAGTGGTGGTCCAACATCCATTCATTCATGATCCTAGTGAAAACTAAACATCGTTTGTAATCTTTTTCCAAATTATTTCTTAATATAAGATTCAATGAAAATTTCATTGTCTTTCTTTTGGAAATAGATTTATCACAAAAAATCTTTCGGTATAATAGAAAAATTCATATAGAGGAAAACATTTTGATACACATTCTTACTTTTTTGATGAAACTGTACAAAAAGGCTTACTGTTTAAGTAGATAGTATAACTGTGTCCATTTAAAAGGTGATAATTTCTTATACATGAATTAACATACACTCAAAATGATTACTTACTTACTTACACCTGTTACCTGTTGTAGAGGAGCATATACCGCTCACCAGGTTGCTCCATTGAACTTTACTCATAATGATACAATTCAGTAAATAAAGTTTTCAATTTTAAAACATATTTTTATGTAAATGAACGTCAATGATACTCGTCGGTTACTAAAAACTGAAGTGATTGAAACAACGTTTGAATTTGTGACTGTGTTTTTCAGCCATTTAGCAGCTAAACCATTGGAACTTATTACTTTTGTTAATTATATACATCTTTGTACAAAATAAATGTGATTGTTTTTTAAACATCAAAACTAATGTAACGATAACTTGATTTCATAGACTTATCGTTTTATTCAAAAATATTCTCAATCTACAAACTCGTTATAATCCTTATGATTTAATTGAAATGTAATCTAATAAGTTCAACCGTGTTGGGTGTGAGGCAGTTACCCTCCGAAAGCAATAAAAGACAGTCGAACAATATCGTAGATTGATTAAAGTTGAAAATTAACACCGTTAAATCTCCGCTCAGTGGTCTAGAAGTTAAGGGTTTGAGTGTGAGACCGAAGGTCCTAGTTTGGAATCCCGCGTGCATGGTCGTGCATGTGCACTGTTGAGTAGTCCCATATTGGGATGGGACGACTGTTTAGTGTTTCCAAGTTTTCAATGGTGTTCTAACGTTTATCGGTTTATGATTGCAATGATATTTAAATTTCATCATCTAAATCGTTAATTTGATTCACCATCGAGTACATAAAAAATATATACTTGATCATCGAGTTACTTTTATTATAAGGAAGTTGATCACTTTATTTACTTTGTACTATTCACCTTTAACATTATTTTTTAATTTAAGATGCAAATGGAAATCTCTTTACCAGATGAAGATGGTCGATTGCAAATCTTAAATATACATACATCAAAAATGCAACAGGCCGGTAAATTGGCACGTGATGTTGATTTAAAAGAATTAGCGGCTAAAACAAAAAATTTCAGTGGTGCTGAAATTGAAGGCTTATGCCGCGCTGCAGCATTCACCTCAATGTATCAATTAATAAGTGTAAGTTTATTATTAGTTTTCCAATATGAAGTAGTTCAGTATATTATGTTTTATTTATTTTTAACGAAATAATAGAGGAGATTCGCAGACTAAGTGATGGTTGCTTTCAGTTGCATTTTGTTATCCGAGCGAAATAGTTTATAATGACGAAGCTTTCTTTTAGTTCTGGACAGGATCATGAGCGCTAATTTCATGTAGAAGTGTTTTTTTAGATATGCCACAGGATCTAAGTTAGACTGTCCGAATGACCTGTGAATGTGTTAGAGGAGTCCAAAAATATCTCTCGTCAAACTCACTAAAGGCTCAGAGATGCCAGGAAATGTTTTCCAGTCAGCGCTGAATTGTATCTTCATAGAAACGTCTAGACAATGCAATATCACGTGCCACCGTTTTGATTGGATATTTGCCTATACTACTGCTATAACTAACTAGTATGGCTTCGGAGATTTCTAAAAGCTCGTGGTCTTGTGTACGTCTGTAAATACCGATGGTTTTCTGTACATAAACTAACCTTAGAGAAAAGTTTTCGCTCGCAATATTTGCCATCTCTTATCTCTCAGTTGATATGTAGTGGCTGCAGATATGACGACCGGTTAGGAAAGCCGTTTAAGCGTGTTGAGAGTAAGAATGATCAGAATCGTTGCCGTCGCCAGTTTTCATTATTCTTGTTGACCGTTTTGTTCAATCAACCTCTGGGCACCTAATTGACGGATCTTTTCCCTATTGATTAGTAAATAGTGTCTATATCGATACACCTAATTATTGCGGACTGATCTAAATGCTATGCTTCTAGAGATTTTTTAATGTTCTCTGAACTGCTTCGATCTAGGATTTCAAAGCTTTTGTCTGTATTATTAGCAAATCGATCGACTGACCCTGCCACTGTATTTGCCATACCATCGATAGGTCATTTAAAACTCTGGTATTCTTAAACCTGTAAGTGAATTATAGCTCACTTTGCTGTATATATAGAGTAAAACAGTTCCACGACACACTACAAGTGCTAAATTTCTGTAGATTCTGTTTTAGATAATGAAAAAAGATATTGCTGTATGTAATATAACGAGTATATGTGTGCATAGATTGAATATTTGGGCTGAATAGTAACAAAAATACATCAAACATGAGATTTAAGTACCTAAATAAAGTTTTCTTTCTTGGGTCAACATTTTTGAAAGTTTCATTACCAACCTAAATATACTAATCGACAATGTTTTATGATGTCATTATTAATAAGCATTGAGATTTCCGTGAAACACACACATCACAGCCTCATGGCCATGGCTTCATGAAATTCGGTCAAACTAGAATCCGGTTGTCCTTGATCGTCTTGAATGATTTCATAATTTATCTACCTATTGTTTTATATCATTTACATGTTTAGTAATTCCATTCCTTTCGAGTATAGTTGTTTCGTAACACTTTCAATGATTTTGATTATTGTTTCTGAATTATACCTCTTATTAACAGACCTTAACCAATACTAGATATATCGTAAAGGGCTAATTGAATAAAGATAATTCTTTTTGATAGATCTGTCTATATATTGAATTTCATAGCTTTATTCTTGTAAACTTTGTCAAATTTGCGAATGTGACTTAACAGTAGTTTCTAGTTTAACACACAATATAATCGTAGTTTGGTTGTATTTGGTGAGTCTACTGTGATGTTTAACACAATGATATCTACTTTTGTTTCGTTTTTATTTCTCCTTTCTTGTAGCCATCTGGGAAAACTCAATTGGATCCTGATGCATTTGACCGATTGTTAGTAAAACGTTCTGATTTTCTATACGCATTGGAACATGATGTTAAACCGGTGAGTATGTATACTCTTTTCATATAAATTTGTCTTGGTTTCTCAACTGAAATCATGATGAGAATATTCAGCTCAAGTAAAGTGCCTTTGACATGGTTGTAATTTCTGAGATGGATAGTTTGATTGTAGAACTATCATTATTATCCAGGACAACTTCCTCAACGTCTAATTAATGTAGAAGTGAACTTTTCGGTTATTCTACAAGTGTTATATCGTTCTGATGATTTTGTGATTCTTTTTTCAATCAGTTGTACAGTTTCTACACCTTTCAAAGTTGGTAGTCAATTTTACCTACTTTGATGCATGTTGTTCGGTGTTTTTCACGTTTATATTATTTAACTCTTACGCTTATTTTTTATGAATCTTTTGTGTTGTTATGACTATTTTCTTACACGAAGTTTTTCAAAAAATGTTATTTCAGGCTTTTGGTGCTTCTGAAGAAGAACTCAGCTGTTATGCTCCTCGTGGTATTATGATGTGGGGCGAGTCTGTATCACATGCATTAGATATGGGTCGACTAGCTGTGTCTGCAGTAAAAGAACCAGATGTTGAAACGTACAGACCCTTAACTTTGTTATTAGAAGGTCCACCGAAAGCTGGTAAAACAGCGCTAGCTGTTGAGATTGCACGATTATCTGGATTCCCATTCGTCAAAATTGTTACGTCACATAAAATGATTGGATTCACTGAAATGGCTAAATGCGCTGCAATGAAAAAGGTAAGTAAACAGCCTTGGTAATAATTATTTGTAATGCTTTTGTTTATCTGTTTATCAGAAGGTCGAGTTTTGTATTTGAACTACATAGATCTTTCTTTGAGAGGGCGAACCTATCAGACATCATCTAAAAATTAAGCCTATTACACAATTAAGCGATGAATGTGGAGATCACTGTTCTGCTTATTGTTATCATTTTAAGTCAAACGAAATAGATTGCTGAATATATCAGAAATTTTGATGAAGGTTTGTGTTTTATTTGTGAAGTTCAATGTTTCATTTAGAAATATTACTTTTAATTGATGCAGTACGTCAGATATGTTGATATTGATCAATGCTTTCTGTGTATTTAACTCTATTCTTGAATTGAACTCAGAAAAACTAATTCTGGTATACCGTCATGCCAGGGAACTGGCAAACGAACCTATTCACGCCATCTATATGTCATAATTGAGTTGAAATAATGACATTTAATTCCCTTAGTCAACTTCTCTGAATTTCGAGAATTTGCTGAATAATTCTCTATAAAGCCCGTACACGAATAAATTCGAGTAGAGTTTCAAGTGTGTCCTTGACATATTGTTCTACATTGACTTTCATCCTGTTTTTATCAGTATTTAGTTTTCGTTTTATATATAGACAAGCGCTTACTCAAAGTTGTCAAATAACTTCTAGTCGTTATAAATATGATCACTGAAAGCCATCAATGTTTATGTCTGTGTAGTTAGAACCTAGGGTAAGATTGTGATGTATCAGATAAGTATAAAGCCGAAGAGACATTTTGTGGATTGTTTGTTTGTTTGTTATTTGTACCCACTCATCAACTCATTATCTTCCCTATTTAATCCTATAATAGGAAATTGGAATTTATTGTTAAATTTCTATTACAATTAATAGCTAATGGATCAAAGTGTACGTTTGTCGTTAGGTTGAGTTGATAGTTCACTGTAGCTGAGATTCCAATCGATAGTAGTTAAACCCCCACGATTCTCAATTCCGATAATTATCATGCGCTCACTAGTGAGTAAGTTCGAGCGGAAATTTTCGAAGTTCTAATTAGAAGCCGTGACAACTGGATGTCAACCGTCCCGGGTGTGAGGTTGTTACCCACGAAGACAATGGGAGATATTTGCACAATATTGAAAATTGATTGGACACATATATACATATTTAAACCTCTGGATTGCGACCTAAAGATTTGAACGTTAATCTTTCGTCTCGAAACCTCGAATGCTCTGGGTTCGATCACGGGTATTGGGGTTATGAATGCCCACTGCTTGATATTAAAATTTTAGGACGAAATAGCTGTCCAGTACTTCCCAGTTTAGAAAGGTTGTCTGACCTAGATAGGTTCATGCTTCCAATCATATATTGCAAATTGCTTTGTTCTTATCATGCCATTCTCATTATTTCTTGTAACTACCATTGATATTTGTATCATTGTACCATTGTCATTACTATTCTTCATATCGTCTGAAGTCTTTCGTATCATCAAATTGGGAAAATACCAATCGTTACTTTCATTATTCTGTCTTGTACATAAAGACATTATTTTACCAAACTTCTAGTTGCAGGAGAATTCAGCTTAAACACAACTACTTCTTAGATTAAATTATTGGGTAACAATTAACAAGTGTATTCTAACATTTGCTTGCTTCATTGTAGTCTTTCTTTCCTACCTCATTACAAAATGTAGATTTTTGACGATGGTGCCAAATCACCGTTAAGTGTTGTGATTGTTGATAATATTGAAGGTTTAATTGAATACAATCCAGTTGGACCAAGATTTTCCAATTTCATTGTTCAAGCAATTCGTGATTTGGTTTCTCAACCATTGAAAGCGGTTAGTTATTTAAATAATTACTTACTTTTACCTAGTTTTTTTCTATATACCCATAATTACATTTAAGTAGTATCATTTTTAGTAGGTGGTGTTAGTCTTTTTAATTAACAGATCAATTGTTTGTTTTGTGTTCTATGTTTTACATATTTTTATTCCCTTGAAAAGTGCGTTTGCATTGCTTTTTGTAGGGTCGTCATATGCTAGTATTGGCTACAACTAGTTGCCGTGAAGCGTTAACAGATCAAAATCTTACGCAAGCTTTTTCATGGCACGTCCATGTTGCTATGCTATCAAGACCTGAGCATGTAATTGCTGCGTTAGAAGAGGATGGACGTTTTACATCGAAAGAACAACAGATTATTGAAAAATCTTTATCGGGTCGTCGGTAAGTGCTACACTTTTTGTGTCATTTTGTTTTCGCGATATAGTCCTGTGCCTTATTCTTTTCTCTGCTGATATCAAGATATATTTATATTTATATAAACTCTATCACATCAGTTCTCAGACTAGAATACCTTCTTCCCATGTAATTGTCTCGTGGATGACACATTGACCTGATTGTTAATTATTGTTTAGATTCCTGCGCACCTTTTAAAACGTACAGGCTTAGTGAACCTAACAAATTATTTTTACCAGCTAAATATCGCAATAAATTAAGACGCTTACAGAAACGTTACTTTAAGTCAAACGATTTCATGGCAGTTGCACAAATGACAATAATTTTCATTCAAATTAAAGAGTAGCACAGGTTAATAGCCATTAACGTGGAGCTGTTAGCACTTATTACTAGCTCAAAAGTGCAAAACTTAATTCTCCTTTTCAATAAACGCGTTGAAGCAAGTCAAAATGTTGATATACCATGCATCCTGCATAATGACACTTTTATATACGACTCAAACCATAGCAGTGGTTTTTTGTTATTTTTGAGGACGATAAAGAATTCTTAAATGACTTTTTCAAAAGTCATGTATGTGACAGGTAACTCAATAAAATCTCTCTCTATCACATGCCTAAAAATTACTAAGGCTATAAACTCCCTTAAGGTTTCGAGCGGTCATGAACTAGACGCGATTTCATCCTTCCTCTACAAACATGGTGGTCCAGATATTCCAGTTCTTCTTCTAAAGCTATTTATTCTCTGAAAGCAGGTACTTAAGCTTACTGTTGAAAAACCACATATATCATACCACGTTACAAATCTGGAGCTGAGACTGACATGAACAATTATCGGCCCATAATAATAATATATTTATTTTGACAATAATAATTACAGAATTCATGCCAATTTACAGGCATGATCAGCTTGATATAATTAGTAACATTAAACGTAGAGAAGGAACATGTGTTATAAGATTGTTTTAAGTTTACTAGTTCAAAAATTGTACATTAAAATACATGATACAACGCATAAAACATGGAGACTTGAAGGTTTGTTTAAAGACCTGTTCTGTAAGGGACAAATCGTAGAAGTACTTAATTCCCAAGTCTACTACTGTATGTAACTTAGATATCACCTTACTATTTATGGTAAGATCTAATTTGAGTTGTGAACGAGAACACAATTGGGGGCAATCAAGTGTATTCGAATAAAAAATTACAGAACGTCTTAGTAAAATCTGAGGACCATACAGTAAATACTTCATTTACAAAATGTCAATCAAACGTGTCAGATTTCATTGTTCTTTCGTTTCCACACCAATCATTTTCTATTCTCGTTCTCTTTTCTTCGATCTTCTTAATCTTCTACCGCCAGATATTTCACTTTCGATTGATGGTACATACTACTTATATCTGTCGATATCAGTGGCTTAGTATTCAAAATACCGGACTTTCCATTTGGAATTCGCACGTTGAAAATTAGATTGATACAACTATCCAACACTTTTTTGATTTTCAGGTTGATATCAGATCATAATTACTTTAAACTTGAACCTATATTTCTGAATATTCAGCAAATACGATTGCTTGTTATTCCTTGATATTTGAACTCAATTGTGTTTTCTTTTTTTATTTCAGTTTATGTATTGGAATCAAGCATTTGCTTGATTTGATTGATCTCGTTTCGAAGGTAAATAATGATCTTGTGATTCATACTGTTCTGTGTACAGTTATCTGATTTCACTGGCAAAAATGTTATTCAATGATATATTTGTAATTCACATTTTCCGCTTCATATATCCATATATCCATATGATGAATTCAAATCTAGTTAGGCGGGATTATGATAAACCTTCAAAGCAATATAAACAGAGATGGATGGTGGCTAGCAGTAAAATCCAGGACGCGTGTTTCGTCTTATTTTGGACTTTTCATCTGGATGAGCCTGCATCCTTGAGTTGACTCGAACTCAATACTGTTTGCTTCAAACGCCATTGCGTTGTTCACTTAGCTACTGAGTTCAGATAGCCAATAATAGTTTTAATTCATAGTCTGGTATCTGTTCATGTGAATTTTTATCAGGTTCCAAACTATGCGTTTTACTAAATTCAAACATCCATTATAAGAAATTGAAGTTAATAAGTTCCAAATTTTCAGTGAAATATTCGAAATCAATTATTCAGTCTGTGGACTTGTTCTCAAGTGATATTTTAGTCATTGCTTTTTAACAGATTTAACTTACGTGATTTAAAGAAACAAGTGTTCCTAGATCATCATCATATGCATACTCCAGTCATCATGCCAAGGGAGCAACTGGTAGGCTTGTCATGACCTTGAAGTTGCTCTCTCTACAACATACTTAACCTGAATAACCTAAATCATTACACATTACATTATCACTGTAAAAGATGAAATTAGCAAGCTGTAGATAACGAATGAATCGGGATTATATTAGCGTTTGTGGTTCTGAAGAAATGCTAAACAGAATGAATACTAGTTCAAAGGAAAAGATTTAATTGATGAAATTAAAATTTCTAAACTAATAATAATGAATACTTTTGTGTTTCTGTGATTGATTCTGAGTTTTCAGTATACCAATCATGATTGTTATTCGCTTGTTGTTATGACTATTACCTTTTTTTCATTTTTCTTCATATCTGTCAAGCGGACAATTAGTTTTCATAATTCTGATTCATAAATTAATTTCATCCTTCTATTCTTCTCTAACCCCTTGATTATTGCGCAACCTCATTTGATATTGACAATCTTTTCTGTCCTTTTATAGACATATCTATTAACCATACGACTATAAATACAAATGTACCGCCTAAGTAAATGATTTTATCGGGATGAAAATTTTACTGACTATTTGTTACCTTCATTGCCTAATACCAACCTATCAATCATGTTTGTCTGGACCTCCGGAAAAAGTTGCTATCCTCATGCGGTCTTTTATAGGTTTAATTGTACTTAGTGTGAAAAATATCTCAATGAAACTTTGTTTTTAAGAAAAGGTTTGAAGAAGTAACTTGGTTCCATATGATGTATTATGTCACTAAGATATCAAGTTGTGTTATTGATAAATCTCCTATGTAACTCCATTTTATTGAGAGTAAAATGTGGTGAGTTTATAATTTATAGACGACCTTTGAATGACGATGAAGTGAGCTTGAAAATATCCACCTTGTCAAAGTTAAAAGAGGACGTAAGATTAAAATTTAGAGTTAGTGACTAAGGTTAAGAATTGGAGTTAGGGTTTTCATCACAAACTGACATAAGCTATAGTGCCTAAATGCTATATAACTATATGGAGGAATGAATTTTCGTGCCAGAATTCATAACGTACCATCTTTAATTTCATTGGTTCGTCTACAAACTGAAGTCTCGATCAAAAAATGATTCTTAACAATGCGATTTAACCATTAAGTAAAGAAATTACTTTTTCATCAATATGTACAACACTTTGAATTGTTTAATTGTTTTTCTTTCTTTTCTTCCTAGAATGATCCAGATCATCGTGTTGCTGCATTTCTTGCTAAATTAGAAGAAGTTGGCATTGTTGATGTATAAGAACGAATGAATAATATTTATTACAGTTTGTTACTATCTCTCTATGTTTACAGATATTTATGATCAAAATGGTTGTGTTATGCCAAAACAAAAAGAGTCCTAATTCCACGATATATATGTATATTCTATTGATGAATTTGTTTAGTTATTTTAATCTATATAATCATTCCGTGAATATTTATATTTTCCTCAAACTATGGTTGTTATATAATCACTTAATTCTTTCAATTCCTTTTTTTCTTGTCTTTTTTTTCTTCGGATAAATTCATTGTCATTATTTCACAGTTCATATTATACACGAAATTTACTTCGTTACTCTTATTCTCTTAGAGCCATTGTGTAACCATCATTCGTAATACCATTGTCTCCTACTATGCATATTACAATAAACGTTTATTTACTTCCCATTCATTTCCTTCAACATAAGCAAAATCACAATGAGCCAATGCAGGACAAACATATCGTGATATAATAAAAACTTATTTATTTATTCATTCTCATTTAAATTTGTATCTTCATAGTATGGAAATATATCTGTTGAAGAGATAATTTATTTTTTATAGGAAAAAGGAACTAGACATTTTCATTAGCATAGCATACTTGTAGAATGTTGAGGGAAATGATACTGACCTTTTATAAATATGTTTATTATTAAAAGGGCAGTGATGTACGTGTATTTTTGAGGACGTCAAGTTTCGGTTGTTGGCTCCACAACAACCTGGTACATCACTTTTCTCAAAGCTCCAACTGATTCCTTTAATGAAATTGTTCTTAGGAGTTTTTTTCAGTTCTTTATACTGCTCATAATAGTAGATGCGTTGTCATAGCCTGAGCGCTAGATTTCGACTTAAGAGATCCATCTTAGCTTCTATATAACCACAATTTTGTGAAGGTTTTTAAATTACTTAATAGTAGTATAATTTGTTTACTACAATTTGGTTTGGTCTTACTATTATAAAGTATAGCTTTCAATAGCAATTATGGATGAATAAAAAATACAGCTGAAGATTGAAGTTCGCCACAAAATATCTGTTTGCCCCAGTTAGTTGTTGACCTGGTAGCTTGAGGAATTCCTAATCTATCTTTTTTTTTCTGTCAATTGCCGCGTGACGAAATGGTCAAGAGAATACGACTTAAATGAATTTACACTTAAGCTAAACAAATGGTACATTAACCAGTACTAGTAGCTTTTTGTCAGCTCAGAGACTATATTGGTCCCCAAATTAGTAACTTTCCGTCTAGCCTTACTCGTTGAGTGCAGAACACAATCTTAGTCTCTGCTGTATGAATTATATATTTCACATATACGTAGTTTATGCAAAAGCAGACCAGGCCGCATCATACCATAAAATGGAAAATAACAATTATACAAAATCAGGCCAGAAGTGGCTGTGAATTTAAGAGTCTGTAAGCAATAGATTGGGAATAAATCAAGAATAGTAAATCATGTGATCATAACCAATCGGTCAGTTATATAGAATATATATATGACAAGTCTATAAATAGCTCCAGGAGGTTACTCATAAACTAATCTTCGGATACAGAAGTTCGACTCCTTAATTTTGATATGATCATCGTCAAGTATGTGGTTACCACTATTGCAGTAATGGATAAGTAAATCAAGATTAGTTTGAATCATGACTTAATGAATGAGATATTTACCAGCGGTGTCGGTTGTTAGACCATTACGAATATGTTCACAAAGCTAACACATGGTACTACATGCTCTTTACGTACGATAATAGTTTTAGCATTATAGAAAAGCACTACATTTGAATAAATTTCGCACCTAATAAATAGTTCTGAATTATGAGTACTGTTCCATATTATATTCTATGTTGTACTTCGCATCTTCTGTTGAAATTTTGTAGGCACATATATAAAGTGAATGTTATTTACCGCTTTATTTGTCGATAATTTCTCACCAGTGTTTTATGAAGCATGGAAAATTAAGCTATTTCTTGGTCACTCAAATGCAATTATTATTTGACGGATTTCTTATCTGAATGTGTGGTCATTTTCGCTTGAATTCAGATCTGGCTTCTCGGATTCAGCTGAATGTGTTGAGGCGTTGCATATCATTTATAAAAGTTGTGGATTAAACGGTATAACTATTTTAGTGTGTTTTAGATTCTTGAAAATCTTCATATTCTGAGTCAAGTACGTTAGCTTTTAGACCGAATGGCTCTGAATGACATTTTAAAATACGTCCAGCTTTTAATTCATTGCAAATCTACTGACATCTAGTTCTGTTTGTAAAGTACTTTCGTAATAAACTAACTTCAGGCACAATACAATTAAAATAATTTTGCTACAACAATGCTAATACGACCTTTGATGATCATCCTATCTTTCATCATGTTAAAGACATTCAGATCACTGAGCTGAATTTCACTTGTCCTTATTTTGGATTTCAGTCAGTTCTCAACATAACTGGATCTGTCATCAATATCATTCGTGAAGTAGTATCTCACTCTCCATGTAATTACCCTCTTATTGTCAACAAAGTGAGAATTGTCACTGATTTGTTTATAAAAAAACATGATCGTTTGGTCATTTACTGATCACTAACTATTAGGCAGTATTATCCTTCTCTCATTCACAGTACTTGATTAGATTCTATTGATTAATTTATCATTTGATTACTAGTTTTATGCGTTATTTCTTGATACAAGTTGTTAATGGTAATCGTTTGATGCGCAAACTTCACTACATTTAAAATCAGTGGAAAGTGATTTTTAAAGGGCATATCAAAATTCTGCATGAAATTATTCCCATTAAGATCTATTTTCATTAGCAACTTTAAATGAGTTCATGTATCCGTGTACTTCTAACCCGTATGTTTATATCGTTCTGTACATCAGTTTAAAGGTCAATGGACATTCACTAATTAGAATTCAAACATGATATTTTTTCTACATCATTCATATGTTATCAAAGAATTAAATCTAGACCTATATTAAGCTATTCAAGATGGATATCTTAAACGTTTTAATAAATTGCAAGTTTTTAGACGATCATACAATCATGAGAATGGGAGTTTGTGAAGATCATGGATCTATTGAAGTTAGACAATAACACCGTTGAACGCCAATTCAGTAGTTTAGAGATCAAATGTTCACAAGAGAGACTGCAGATCCTGGGTTCATCTCCCACATGCGGGATCTTAGCTTTATACTGTTGAGGAGTCCCATACTAGAACGAAACAAATGTTTTCAATGGTAGTCTAGCTTAAATCAACAAAACTAAACAAAATATTTAAGCAAAATACAAAATATACGATATTATCATATTGTGGTGTTTGAATGAACTGATGATTTTTTCGTACTTTTTGAATGCTTGATTTCTAATTCTAAATACAGTTCATTCGTTTGTGCTGATCTAGTACTACTTGATTCGATTACGTTATTTCTGGGATTCTTAGTTCATACCATAATCCAAATACTCCTAATTATCATATTGGCGTCGCGATGGATCCTGTGATGGAATTGTTGGATATACATTCAGTTCTTGATGCTTTTCAGGATTACTTTGAAAGGTTCGAAATTTGGCCTAAGACCAAGGAAGATGATGAGGATGTTAATATTGTAGCACATTTCCTCAAATTCATCGGAAAAGAAGCATATAGCTTATTAAAAACTCTGGCTTTACCGGAAAAGCCCATTTTGCTTCCTTGTACAACTCTCAAGGAACTACTGCTAGACTATGGTAAGTATACAAATTCCAATTGCGGTAAAGGGAGATTTCGTAAAACGATTCACAAGGATATAAAAAAAATTCATTCCATTACGTCATCTCAACCCAGTTCATACTCAAGGTTATGCAGATAATTCATTTAGGAGTTGCAATACAGTTCACGAAGATGGGTACAAGTCTGGTCAATGCTTGTCCTGTGGCAGGTTCCACTCTTTTAATTCATGTAAATTTCGTAATTCTAAGTGCTTTAAATGTTCCGATTTCGGTTGTTAATTCTAATAGTAATGAGCACATTCTAGATAATACAGTTTTTATCCAATACGATGTCGGACAGACACAGGATGAACTTAAGAAGAAGACGTACAATCGATTACAGACACTTAGACTCTAATTTAAGCTATGGCAAATGTGGTGTTTGAATGAATTAATGATTCCTTTGTACTTGTTGAATGCTTGATTTCAAATTGCAAATTCAGTACATTCGTTTGCGCTGATCTAGTACTTCTTGATCCGATTACGTTATTTCTGGGATTCTTAGTTCATACTATAATTCAAATACTCCTAATTATCATACATATTCTTACATCTACTATAAACTTTACATGTTTCAACTAATTTACATAGAAATTCTCAATTGAAGTAAAAGCAAAACACAAAAAAAACTGTTTTGTTTCAATTAACTTTCCAACGAATTCTTTTTTAAAAAGTAAAACGTCTACAATCATGATTTCCCATTTAACATTCATAAAAGAAAAAAATGCCAAAAACAAAAAAGAATCCACTTGATGAATAGGGTAATGTAATTCTTATTGAAAATGTGTAGTTTTTATTGTTCACCATTTCATTCACTCACTCACTCAATCACTCACTCATTCTTCACTAATATTGAATGGTGATGTCAAAAAAAAGAGGAAAGAAAAATCCACTTCATAATTCACATAAACTTTTATTTTTATTTATTATATCACAATAGAATCAGTAAATTTTAATTGTGTAAAGAAACGTCGTTTTCAAGTGTTTGTTTGTTTCATCTAATGGTAAGTTGTGTTATGGTAATAAAGTTGGATACTTGCATTTAGTGCAGCTTGAGTTATGCTTGTTGTAAGTGTATACAAATATATATACATATATATAGGGAGAGAGAGTGTGTGTGTTTGATTCGTTTTGTACTGTTTACCTGATTGTTCACATTGATGTTTATGACTGTAATTGGTCAGTCTTTTATTGGCATATGTGTATCCTGTTCGGATTGCCTAGATATAGTCTTAAGTCATAAGCTCTTTAAGCAAAGATGTATAGTGGCTAGCAATGGAATCCAGGACACACGTTTCGTTTTATTTCGGACTCATGAACTAGATATACCCGTATCATAGTTGGTGTTCACTCTTTAACTCGAACACAGTAATGTTCGCTTCAAACGCTATCACGTTATCCACCATCTACTAAGTTAATAAACAGATTCAAACAAACAATGCAAAAATGAATTCAAAATTCACCCCATTACACAAGTTAGTGGCTATCAGGACTCAGCAGCTAAATGGATATCTCGATGGTGTTTGAAGCGAAAAGTACTGAGTTTGAGTCCCAAAGTGAACATCATCTCCGGGATGCAGGTGCATACATCTGACGAGTCCGAAATAGGACGAAACGCGTATCCTAAATTCCGCTGCTAGACACCATCCATCTTTGTTTATAATACATATATGATTAACTGTTAAATGTTTACCAATTTTTTCTTTCCAGTTAAAACAGTTTCTTCCTAGATTTTTACGTGTAGAAGTCTATAGTATGTAGAAATATTGATACACATTAACATTTGTAGATATAGAATGGATATAATGTGGCTAACGGTTACGACCAAAATGCGTGTTTCGTCCCTTTTCGGATTCATCAGCTGGATGAACCTGCATTCATTTATACACGTATACCAATGAAGGCTGATCAAATTTCAATCAGAATATCAAAAAGATTGATTTTTCAAATTGAACAATGATCTGAATAATACAATATTATATGGGGGAACTGACTGAGAATCACTACATGTTTAGTGATGATTGTAATTGTAAAAACTGTATGAAACTAATATATTAACTTATTTTTTTCCACTCTAGTAATAACTTTCTTAATTTAGTTGAATTGTAAACCTGTTGAGCTTCTTCTCGTGGTGGGGCTGCTGGTGAGTTGAGGGTATCAAGCAGGATGTCAAGGGGAAGATTTACTCCTATTGATGGGCGGTCTGGGGCTATCCGCTTCCGTAGTTGGTCTCGGTGTCTAGTCCACGTGTCTCTTCCCCCTTTATCTCGTAAATAACTTGGCCTAGTCTTCCAACCACATGTGCTTCGATCCAAGGACCATGGGCATCCAACCTCGTATGCTGGCAACTTCTGAGGTTTGGTCTGAGATGGTGATGGTATGGTTCTTGGGCACATGAGACTGTGGATCGTCCTCAATTTCGTTCCCATCAGGATCTCTGCCGGGGACTCCTACTGTGGTAGCATATCACTAGGTGTTGTTCGGTAAACAAACAAGAAATTCTGCAGCTTTTCTACTGGCGTCCCCTCCTCTTTCGACTTCATTAGAGCTCTCTTGAATGTATCCACAAATCTTTCTGCTTGGCCATTTGACTGTAGGTGGTAAGGTGGAGAGCGGAAATGCTTGATCGATAGGCGTTTGCAAAATTCTTGAAATTGACTTGAGGTGAACTGTCAATCGTTGTCGGATATGATTATATCCGATAATCCGTTGTGGGAGAACATCTCTGTCAAAAGTTGCATCGTTTGGGTAGTCGTTGGTGGCATGACGGGAACGATTTCTGGCCATTTCGAAAAGGCGTCAACAACGACTAGATAGGTGATTCTATTAGTTGGACCTGAGAAATCGACATGTATCCTGGATCAGGGATACTCAGGCTGTGGCCATGGGACCGGTTGTACTTTCCTGCTACACTTGGCCGCTTGCTGACACTGTGTGCACTTGCCTAGTAAATCACGATGTGTTGGTCCATGAGGGGCCAATAGGCATAGCTTCTGGCGATGGATTTCATTCGTTTTATATCAGGATGACCAGTGTGAAGTTGCTTTAGCACGCTTGATCTTAGGGACTCTGGCACCACTACTCTGTCTCCAAACATCAAGCATTCATTTACGACAC